GCATATGGCGGGGTCGCCATATTTGCGGATTATGCAGAGTATGTATACTTATAATTAAAAAAAAAAAAAACTATGGCTACTTGTGAAAAAGGCGTGGATATTTCAAGGATACATGGAAATAATATAAATTTAATGCAAACTTTTAGTTTGGTAGGTGCTTATGAAACTCGCATCATTTTACAACAAAAAAGTTAAGTTGGCGCATGCGTATCACGGCCGAAAACACAAATCAAACACAGTGAATGAAGAATAGAAAGACAAGTAAGAAAGTCTAAGTTCGGGCGGAGCCGAACATTAAATACCCGGCGCAAGTATTAAAGATATGTTTTCCACCTTGCCGAAAGCTACCGCTACATGATAAGCCGGGGTATATACATTTTAAGTAAATTAGCGTCCTTAAATTTCGACATATTGAAATTTCAAGCATTTCTGAAATTTATTGTTATATGAAAAGCGGCCGTAATTTAAGACCGATTTCAACAATTTTCAACGGTTTGCTTTTATGTGGCAAGCATAATAATCATACCGAGTTTGGTACAAATTGCTAGAACGGTTAGCGAGATACATATATGTAATCACAAGTGGGCGNCATCAATTTTGAATAAATTAGCTTTAATATTTACTGATTTATCGAAGATTTCGTATTTCTCGAAATTACCGTTATATGGGATGTGGGCGTGGTTATTGTCCGATTTTAAAAAGTTTCGGCCATTTGGTATGTTGCACGAAGGCCAACAACTGTGCCGAGCGGTTACCAAGATATACACATGTAACCATAAGTGGGCGTGGCTACGCCCATTTGCCAAAATTTTTAAATATTCTTATTTTTCGTCTAAAACTCATTGTAAATATCAATTTTGAGTGAATTATCTTCAGTAGTTACTAAAATATCGCAGTTTTCGTATTTCTGAAAATTACCGTTATATGGGAGGTAGGCGTGGTTATTGTCCGATTTCGCCCATTTTCAATACCATCCGTCCTACGCCCAAAAGAAGCTCACGTACCAAGTTTCGTTAAGATATCTCAATTTTTACTCGAGTTATCGTGTGCACAGACGGACAGACGGACGGACGGACGGACGGACGGACAGACAGTCACCGCTTAATCGATTTCTCTTTTCATTCTGATCATTTATGTATACATTTGTCTATATCTATCTCGATTCGTTTTGCCTGTTACAAACAACCGTTATGTGAACAAAGTTATAATACCCTTGTGCACAAGTGCGCTCGGGTATAAAAATTCAAAGAAAACCTACATATGTATGTATGTACTGAAACGTAAACACAATCAGGAAAAGCGTGCACTCCTCTGTTATTTTTACTCTATCGATGTGCTGACGAAAACATGTTTTTCACTTTTGTTATCTCAAAAACTAATTCACATATCGAAGAGTTGTATCTGCCAGCTGCATTCTACGCAATGCAATGTCTTAGCGGTTATCAAATTGGTCTGGTGTGTTTATGCGCATGCTTTCAGTACGCAATGTTAAAACAGTGAAACAAATATCTCTGAGATATGAAATACTACTCGTATATACATATTTATGTTTGTATGCACATTTAACTGATGCATTGCATTCACTTTAGCTTTGGTTAAAATACCAGCACCCCAATGGGTAAATGAGCGATCGCTGCTGCAGGTACAGATTTTTCTATGCGCATGAGTGGATACAATTGTATTTGTAGCCCGTGCCACGTCACTGCGTTGCTTTCGTGTACATATTTATGTATGAAAATATCGATATATGTGCATTAGGGTGGTCCGTAAATGCAGGAAGCTAATTTTTACATCAGATTTTCTAAGCCTCAACCTCAGCTCCGTCGATGATACTATAGTAAAAAAATAGTCACATATAAATTTTGGTCGCGATTGGAGACGGTTAAGGCGTGTCGCACAGGGGGCAAAGTTCAGATTCCTCTATGGGGACTCGAAAAATTAAATTTTTTAAAATTCTTTTTTTAAGGACCACCCTAATGCGTACATTCATGAATTACTCAGGTGGTTTTCAATCAATACCAAAGCACCGGTACGTATTTATGTCTGTACATAGCTTATATACTCTGTATAGTTTGAGTATAAATAGGTACTCAAAAACAACTACAACTAGCTTTTATTGACAAAAAAATAAAAAATTTTAGCAAACAGAGAGTAAGTATGTAGAATAGATGGAAATTTAGTAAATTCATAAATAAAATGTGGCTTAAACATACACATACATACTTACATTAGAGCATATACAACATTCGCGTACATACTTTGGTACATACATATGTAAATACATACATACATACATATGTATGTAGGTGCATATCAACTTAGTTCATAGTTAAATGAATGCCCTGTAGGAAATGCTAATGTAATCAAATTGGAGCTATGCTTGTAAAGCTTTGAAACTATTCGAGGTAATTTGAAAACGATTGGGTCTGGTGGTAAACGAGGACAAGACGAAGTATCTGCTGTAAGCAAACAAACAGTCAGCGCATCGCGTCTTGGCACCCATATTCAACTCGGAACCCGCTGGTGGTGCAATGGAAAGTTGAGTTCAAAAAATAAAAAATAAGAGATCACATAATTTCCAACTAAAAGCTGGCAAAAATAAAAGAGCGTTCTTGGTTTTCTAAGATTTTTAGTATGCATATTTGACGTCGCTGAAAATAAGGTTTTAGGTGGGGAATCATTGCTGCAAAGATGAAGACGGAAACTTGTAACAGCCATCCAGAGTACACCTGAGATTTGGGCAAATACGAGAAGTAGTCAACCAAACACGGAAAAAATGCATGCATTTTTTTACAATGTCTATTAATTTCATATTTCTTTGCACATTAATTTGAGAAATCTGAATTATTCCTCTTGCCTCATGTAAAAAAGCTCTGATTAAACTTAGTGTTAAGCGCTATATCTTTTAATAAAATACCACAGTAACGCTTTAAAAAAAATCTTTTTTTTTCAACGCCAAAAAGTGTAACGTCCGCAAAATATTAACTCCGAACGACCATATCCAATTGCTTTAAAGTTAATCCGAATTAAGTATACTTTTACTATGCATCTTGTCAACTTCATTATTTTCTTTTCAAGGTATTCTTGCCAATTGTGCTCTCCGTACATGAAAATTTGCAGAAATCTGTTGACTTTGATGGTCATATCAAAACCGCATCCTTTTTCAGTAACGTCCATACTGAAAGTTGCTGAGAAGATAACCATACGTTTGTGAGACCTCTCATGGTTTGCTTGCCTTAATTTTATGGTAATTAAGATTTTTAAATTTTTTTTCAAAGAGGTGGAGTCTTAAATATTGATTTATTATTTAAATGCATTTTATTTAGAAATATTCCTCATTTGAAATGGGAATACCACCGATTTCCATCTTCATTTCCAGAATGAAAAGTTTAAAAAACATACGTCTCGCAGAAATAGGTTAAGAATGCCGGGTTAAACCTTCCCTTAGTCGGTAATACTAGGGTTTGCTCGTATGTAAGTAACACTTCCCACCAGCAAAAAGTTTCACTTCTGAAAAAGTAAGCGAGTTAGTAATAGGTCGCGGGCCAGGGTCATTTCGTTGTAAGAGAAAAATATTTTTTGTTCTTGTCCTTTTCAAGAAATTTGAATACTAAGTTCATGTGAACCAGTGTAGCGCTCAGCTGATGGAATCATATCCCTGCATACGCGACTTGCTCATTTCAAAACTTCCGATGAAGATGCTCAACTGATCATTTCATATTCCTGCATACGCGAGTCAGATATGCAAATACCTGATAAACAGATATTACCAGGTTTGCAAATTTTTTAAGATATGAATTTCGTAGGACATCGACCGTGTTAAAATTCATCAAAGAATTCAGTAGTTAGGCCCTCCTTTTGCTATTACATATTCATTTCCTAGCTATTACCTTTTGCTACTGGGTTCTCAACGCTTTTGACTGGCTACAAGGCAACCTGATAAATGTACGCGGAATAAAAACAAAAAACAACAAAGTGCCAAGAGCCAACGGTATACCGGCTGAGCGGTTCAAAACTGGCGTTGTACTGAAAGATCTAAATCTTACTTTACTTCGCTCGAACCATAAGGAAGATGATCCAGGTCGAGTTCGGGACTAGTTTTCTCAGTATAACTTATTAGGGTCTACCAACGATACTGTGTGAAGTCGTGAAGCCATCATGAAAGGCTGACTGGAACTTATCAGTGTGGTTTCAGATCTGATAAGTCAGTGCGCCAGTCTGGCAGTGCTTCAAATCTTGGAAAAGGTATTTGATAAGCATATCGACATACATCCACTTTTCGTAAACTTTATGGCCGCTTTTAACAGCACGAAGAAGCTTTATCTAAATTTGGAAGCTATGTAGAGTGAACTCTATTCAAATTGGAAAGAACCTCTCTAGGGTTTTAAGAAAACAAAACCATTATTATTTTTTTCTGTTTGGGGTACTTATGTTTTGAACTTACTCTGAGCTCTAGGTGACTATAAAATTACTACAAAATTGTTTATTTTGTGCCAGCGGATTTCGAAATCCAAACACATTGCACGTTTTGGCAGAAAAAAACATTGATTTTTATTTGTAGATATCCAAAATTGGTATTAAATATCAGATTCCAAGTAACTGGGTTCTACTCGCTAGCTCAAAATTTCCTGCCGGGTATGTGTATGGTTGCTCTTTGAGCGACGGCTGATGGCCAGTGCGGAATATTGGAGATTGTGTAATGCAAGAAATGCTACAGCTAAATGTTGCCATCGAAGCAGTTTACCTCAATATGCATGACTTCGTTTTTATCTTCACACTTTAATGCATATTTCACGAACTTGAGATTAAGAAAAAAATTCTCCACACATTAAATATTTCTTGCTAAACGTCGCTTTTGGAGTTGTGAATTTAGGTAGTTCAAATTAACATTAAAAAGTGTATAACTTTATTATTTCACCTTGTTTACTTGGTAAAATATTTGCAAAACTACACACACGTATGTACATTTATTTGCAAGTGTGTGTTACCCATAAACGCACCTTATTGATCAGCCTTCACTTCCGAATCCTCTAATTTACTATTGGCATACATACTTAGGTACACAAAAAATTTTTTCAAAAATAAATTAACTCTTTTACAATGGCAGCTAAAAAGATTCGTGCGCAATCCGTTTCTTTGCATATCAATTTCAGGTTTTTTTTTGTATTTAATTTCACTTTAACCGATTTTTAAAGCACAGACACAAATTTGGCACACCATTTTTAGAACTTGCTTATTTTTCTACGAGTTTTCAACAAATTTCTACAACACATATGTACATACATACTACATTCATGTGTACATATATGTATGTATTTCATTTCAGTTTTGCTTTTAAATTTTCTTTTTGCTTTATTTTTTCTTAGTTTATTTAATTTTTACTAAAATTTTTCTTTTTTTGTTTTCATTTCCTAATCCGCGTTTTATGCTTGCGTACGCGAAAGTTTTACTACTCGAGCCACAACTCGATCGCTTGCCAGCCGCGCTAAAACTGCGCTCCAACTGGTCGAGAGAAGCGCTCTTAACATTAAAGCGATGAACTTGTACGAAAAACTTCTCCCAACCAGCTACCAACGGTACAAATACAAAGTTAATGCAATAGTCACTCAGCTTTAACCAGACTTTGAACGTAAACACGGCATCAGAGAGTAGACGCTAGCCAACTGGTTATTCAACGATTGCAGGTAGTTTTGTTTTTTTATTGTTTTTTGAGAGGAGATCGTTTGGGGCTTATGTATAGGTGACGCACTACCCAGCAAAAAACACGATTACCACAGAAATTAAAATGGAATCGAATTTGGCGATGGGAATCGCTTAGCCTTTCGCTTCTTGAAGCATTATTGAAGTGTAGCTTCTTTAGCGGCGGTTCGTTAGTTGGGAGTAATTTGGCATATTCAACGGAAATTGCACACGAAAATGGTGCAACGGAAATTGTGCAACGGAAATGATTCAACGGAAATGGTTGGGGTTGAAACAAGTGCTTCTTGAGGGTAAGCACATCTTATTAATTTAACAAAAACTTGTTAATAAACGGTTAAAGATTAACACTTAGAAAAACACCAGTACAAGAATGAAAGTAAAGGTGACTACGTACATAGATAAAGAAGAGGATAAAGGTAAAAATAAAAAAAAAAAAACAAAGATGCATAAAGATAAAGGCAAAAGTGAAGATCAAAGTAAATTTAAACACATGCATGTACATGAAGAAAATGATAAACATAAAAGTAAAAACAAAGATAAATATAATGAAAAAGATGAGAATGAGGATACCGATAAAAGTAAAGATAAAGATAGAGGAAAAAAGATTAAAATAAAGGTAATTATAGAGAAAAGGATATAGATAGAGACACAGACACTCAATTTGTGAACTATTTTGGGAGTTTAGAGATTTTCGGGATTCTCGGGGCTTATCGATGAAACAATCGATATTTTTATCGGTTATTGTTACCGATTTGCTATCGATATCTTCGGAAATTATCGATATAATAATCGATATTTTTATGGATTTTGTTATCGATATTTATTGTCGATTTGGTTATCTATTTTTTAATCGATACTTTTAACGATTTTGTTATCCGTGTTTTTTATCGATATTGTTATTGGTTTTATTATCGATGTTGTTATAGATTTTGTTATCGATATTTTTATCGAATTTTTTATCGATACGTATATCGATTTTGTTATCGATTATTTACCGATTTTGTTATCGACAATTTATTAATTTTGTGATCGACCTTTTTATCGACTTTCTAAGCGATTTTTATGATCGATGTTGTTGTCGATTATTAATCGATTTTGTTATCGATATTTTTATCGATTTTCTGATTGATTTTGCTAACATTACTACAACGATTTTGCTATCGAAATTTTTATCGAATCTGCCATCGGTTTTGTTATCGTTTTTTTTATCAATTTTGTTAACGATATTTTGTTGGATGTTACTATCGATTTTGTTATCGATAGAGTATAAAGATAAAAATGAAGATAAAGGGAAACAGAATAACATAAATGTAATTAGAACGAACAGGGTAGAGGTAGGGATCTAGATGAAAAAAAGAGAAAAAATATAACCTTAAGCAAAAGCAGATGTACATAGTATGTACGTACATATATTGGTAAGTATATTAGATATGTAACGTAAGTTTCACTTTCCCAATCATTACAAAAATAATAAATAATAATCAAAAATAATCAAAATAAATAATTGATTTAATTTGGTGATTACTTTGATAATTTTTGATTACTCTAATTATATTTATTTATTTGTTCGATTTCATTGTAAGCAAACATACTTGTTTGTTTTCTGATGTATGGGGAGTTCACAGATCGTTCCAAGTTGTGCCTCAAAATTTAGACGTCTACATTTTGAGATATTTTCTAACCGTAAAATCTGTGGTGTTATTGTTTCCCAAACAAAATTGGAGAGCGATGCCGCACAGTTTATATAACAAAACATTCACTCATACTTACCGTATATGGAGAAAAATGCCTAGAACCGTCAGCAAAAAAAATTTTAAAAATCAACGCGATTTCTCAGCCGCTTCAAATTTGTACATTGTTATACTAAAATTCAATGGGCTATAAAACTGCATACCAGAAATTTTCGAAAAGATCTGAGTAAAAAGTTTAAAATTTTGATGAAAATTCATTAAATTTTCCTTAATATTTCATACAGTTGCAAACCTCGATTTATATGGTTTTGTTTATAGCACGAACCATATTTTGGTACAAAAATAACAAAAAAATTATAGTTTGCAAAACATTGTGAATATTTAAAAAACAAGGGTGAACGCAGATATAGTGGAGCACGCGTATATATATAATTTTCTATATCTATATTTATATACCTAATGATATCATCTTTTCCGGACTAACTTCTTCTTCTTCTTCTTCTTCTTCTTCTTCTTCTTCTTCTTCTTCTTCTTCTTCTTCTTCTTCTTCTTCTTCAAGGAGAGGATCGAGGATACGCATACAAGTGACAGCTTTCTTAGGGTCAATCTTTGGCATAATTGCCTATCCACCAATATGCCCAGGGCAATCGAGAGAAAACCCGGGCCCTGAACTGAAAAATCACGGGCCCCTATATAGAGTCAGAAAGAATCAGCACAAAACGGAATAAAATTATGATTTAAATGGTTTCTCGAGGAAATATGGGAAAATATTTGTTTATATAAAGAAAACCATGGTTATTGATTTCTTTCGAAATTAAATTGTAAAAAACTAACAATAATTTTTAGTTGTGATATTTCAGGCCTCTTAAAAAGAATAAATATTTGGTTGTAGGCTGACCACAAGGTGGAAAGATCTCCTCTCCAATTGTGGTCCATCGTAGTATAAGTATGAACTACGCTTCCGCTTGAGAGAGAAGGACTTCGATACTCAGAACTTCGATGCCCAGAACTCACACTTGTGACGATAATACGAAGATTTTCCATTCAAAAACTTTACTGTAGGATGATGTTGGCCTAGTTGGAAATCTAAAATTTACAACAATTGCATATGCAAATGTCCTCCTGCATTCATTGTAGATGGCATACTGGAAAACTTGAAATATTCATAGAAATTTCAAACTTTCTGACACAACCCATCATTGAACTTCCAAATAGTGTAGCATAGCCAGTGCACATTCGAATGCATATAACTTTGAAACCAAAGGATTTATTAAAACCTTTCTTCAGGAATATAGATTTGACCATGCCTAGTCATATCACCTAAAAACTTCAGGTTATTTTTTGTTTCTTAATGGACAATTCATTCATATAGTTATAGGTTTCTGGTTTAAGGTTCAACAGACAGTTAGTTGAAGTAAGTTCCTCTCAGATTTCTGGAATTCTCAACGTCGTTATGCATTTTTATTTTCAAATAAACACATAAATGGATCTTATAGGGGCGATTTAAAAAGTTCAAAATTTCCTTTACTTAAATCTTAAAAAAAGATCCAGGTTTTTCTTTTTATTTATTTTTGTCATTAGTTATCTTCACTAGGCATACCTACAGTCAAAGTTGCATAACTTGACCTTTTATAATTAATATTTCTTGTCAGATTTGACGTAGTTAAGCTTTTAGATTGTACTCACATACCTTCCATGTAAAAAAGTTACTATTACATAAAGTTACCGAAACCAAGCTTCAATGTTATGACTTACAAAATTATGGAAATCTTATATGGTCTAATTATGGCAACTTAACGTAACTTACAGGCTCTCACTTAAAAATTCTCTTAAATGGATTTTGCTTATAATTGAACAGCCAAAACTTAACGTAACCTAATGCCACGCCGAAATCTGTTTCATTTTGATTTTCTAAATTCTAAGTTCCGTTAAGTGAAGTTAAGTTAAGTTGCCATAATCAGGCTTCTACTATGCCTTCCTCTCTGTTTTTATTTAATTTCAAGTCTTATGCTCTCACTTATACTATCAACCCATTTGCTACACTGAATTTGTATCAACTGCCGAAACCATCCTGCGCTGATACTTTATGCCGTATTCCATGAAAGTAAATGGCGGATTTGGTTGCGTTAAGCAAAAGTACACGCCTCGAGCCTTGTCGGGATATTTCAAACCGATCGCCACCGCATCGTTGAAATCGCATTGCCGTTTACGGAAATGTGACCAGCTATCACACTTCACTGCCGGTATCATAACACCCTCGACCAGCGCTTCCATAAACAAAACGAACGCGTACATATGGCTGCAACTTTTCGTGGTACAACCTGGTTGCAGTTTACGACGCGTAAAGTAACCTATACCATTCGGATAGATATCGATCGTGCCACGTCGCTCACGCACGCCAAACACATCGCCCTCGCCATGTATGACTATTACGCGCGTGCTAACATTCGCATGCACGTGCATGTCGGACGATTGACACATCAGCGCCGGATCAATGGCCACTAATTGTCCCATACGCATACCGGCGGTTGACGCTTGGCTAGCGTAGATGTTCGCAGCTAGCGCGGCTATGTTAGCGCCCACTGAATGACCGGCCAAGGTGATGTCCTCCGCGGCGATGCCATGCTGCGTCAATGCACTGAGTATTTTCGCCACAAAGTGGCCCTGTACGGCAACGTGATGCCGCACCGTANGCGGCTATGTTAGCGCCCACTGAATGACCGGCCAAGGTGATGTCCTCCGCAGCGATGCCATGCTGCGTCAATGCACTGAGTATTTTCGCCACAAAGTGGCCCTGTACGGCAACGTGATGCCGCACCGTGTAGTACAGCTGTAGCACATCGCTGGCAAAGTCTACGATAATAATATTCAGATCGCGACGTGTCATTTGTAGCAGCTTCAGATGCGCTTGCACGCTGAAATAGGTGTCAGCGGTGTAGTAGGCATTCACGTAGATGAGCGTCTTACGTTTGGGATTGATATCGTAGTCGCGTATTTCCGAAATGGCTTTAATGGGCAGCTGTACGCTTTGATTAGTCAGCGTCATTACGTGGATGCTGGCATCGCAGGGATTTATGCCGCTGTGTAGCAGCATAACCGATTCGTCAACGGGGGCTTCGCCTGAAAGCAAATTATTATTGTATAGCAATCCCAAAAAAAAGGGGCGGCCATCAATCAATGAGCATAATTCACACACAACTCACAGAAGGCCTTCCAACCGAGCGGCAACGTGTCTTGCAACAATTCAAAATTTCGCTGCTGTATAGCCTCAACCGTCGGTTGCTGTTGTTCTAAGTCCTTCGTGTCCTTTGTATCGCTAGCGTTGATCTTGCTAGACGTAAAAAACACAAATGCGCTAAACAGGCAGAGGAAATGTAAATAAATTCCTTTTTGTTGCATTATAAAGTCAAAAAAGCGCCGGCGAAAAATTAAAAAAAAATCTACTCAGCACATAAACTGTCCGCCGTGCCGTCTGTCTGCCTGTCCGCGTTGTTAGGCAAGTGTTGTCTTCTAGTCGTTAGCAGCCGCGGTTTAGTGCTTTTATGCCAAACACATATTGATTTTTATTCTTTAAGCTGTGTGCCCTTATCGGTAACTGATATCACCAGTTGTATGCGCAGCGTTGTCACTGATGATTTTCTTAACGTAGCACGTAGCGCGAAGATGTGCGATCGGAAGTGTTGACTCGAGTAGTTGAATTACATACACTGATTGTGCATGCAATCCGATATCAATGCTTATTCGCACGCGGTCCCATTTGCTTTGCTGTGTCACAGACGTTATTATTTTGCCTGAAGAAAGATTTGCATTTCAACATCTTAGATGGTGCGAACACAAATGACTTAGACACGTACACATGTTTCTATCACCAGAAGATATTACTAGATATATGTAGTAGCCATTAGCAAACGTTTGAAGTTTGCTAGAAAAATTTGCAAGGCCAAACGTGTCTACTACTTGGGATCCGGCCAAGCTCGCTGATTTTCGGACGTACTGAGAAAATGCATTCACACTTTCAAAGTTTGAGTAGTAAGCAGTGTTGCCACACATGGGCTTTTCCTAACAAAACTGGTAGGTTTTTATCCATTTGGTAGGTTCGTAGGCTATATTGGATTTTGGTAGGATCTGCGACAATCTATATCTATATATATAATACGCGAAGGCATTTTTTGTCGGGTGCCAAATTAAAGCGCTTGGCCTGTAGATGTACAAACTTGTTTTATTTTTTGAAAAAGAGTTGCCACCTGTTGAACAATTAAATTCCATATATTTAATAATCACGGCCCTCATATCTGCACTGTTCGTTCGATTTTCCAAAATGAGGTGTCAAATCAAAAGGCTTGAACTGTAGTTGTGCAATAAGGTTTTAATTTTTTTTTAAAGAGTTGCCACCTTTTAAAAAGTTATATTCAAATTAGATAATAAAAAAAATAAATCAATTATTACAAAATGGGTACCAACCGGAATGGTTTGGAAGATCTTTGTTTCCTAGCTGAACTATAGGAGAGTTGCCACCTGTTCAAAAAATCATATTAGGTAAGAAAAATATGTATCCATATATGGATACCAAACGAAAGGGTTTTCATAAAGTAGTAGCTTGAGAATATTTGTAATAGGGTTGCCACTTACTTGAAATGACGAATTAAGTGTACTTATACACAAGTTATATGAAACATCAAAATATGTATGTCAAACGAAGTAATGTTAAGAAATATTTAGTTTGAATACTAAGAATATTTTTGAGGTGTTGAAAGGGGGTTACCACCAGTTTAAAAAGTTAACTTCAAATTATTTAATAAGTTAAATGAATTATTTAAATATGGGTATTAATCGAAAGGCGTTTGAAAAAATTTTATTCCTGAACGGTATTTAGCTGGGTTGGCACATGTTTGAAAATTAATAAATTTAAATAATTTGTTAATTAAAATATGTATCGCAGTGTCCGGATAAGGAGAGTTAACATTGATTAAGCTTGAAAATATTTTTGAAGAAGGCTGCCACCTGTTTGAAGGGTCCTACTCAATTAACTAATTCAAAAAGTGTATGAAATATAAAAATACTTTAGTAAAACGAAAGAATGTTAAGAAATCTTTAGTTTTAACATTTCGAATGTTTGAAGAGAGTTGCCACGTGTTTAAAATGTTAAATTAAAATTATCCAGTAAGTTGGATGAGTTATTATAGTATGGGCATAAATAGGTTTGAAAGGGATTTATTCTGCACTTTATTGAGGAGGGTTGCCATTTGTGCGAGCAATCAGATTCGAATTAGTTCATCAGTTTATTGAAATACATCTGTATCGCAATGTGAGACCTAAGAGATTTAGGCCGATTTTAGTTTAAGAATAATTTTGAAAAGGAATTAAAAAAACGAGAGGTCAGATCGAATACAAATGGAGCCAGAATAAATATTATGTCGGCAAGTCAGGCAGCGTTAAAGGCCTTAGACTCATTTAAAATGGTATCAGGCAGAAACACCTGCGTCCCCACAATGGCGTAACGCTGTGGTGGGTACCGGAAGATGAAGGGTACATCTAAAGGATACATTGCAGAATTACTTAGGGGTTAGGAAGAATCTCAGATGGCTGACTACTGGCGGAAGTCAAAGGGAATGAGACAATCAAAGAGATTCATAAATCCCTGCAGGAAGAATGCCAAAAGAGTCTTGAACTTAGCCGAGAGAGGGTTAGTTAGAACTCTTACTGACATCCTGACAGGACACTGCAAGTTAAGGTACAATTTGAATAAAATAGGGCTTTCTCTACAGACAGATTGCAGGTTTTATGGGCTGGGTTTAGCACAATAGATCTTCTCAGCTCGCGTATTCCTGACGTATAAATAATGATAATATTACACATGCAGAGACATTTGTATAAACCTATACAGAAAAATGAATTGTTATACACAGTTAGTTGGTTTTTATTGTACTAGCGGCGTTTTAGTTTTACTAAATTTTTTGTTATCTACTTTTTTTAATAAACTTGACATTAAAATGATGCATTAAAAACCCAAAAAAATGTTGGTAGGTTTTGGTTGGATTTAATAGGAAATTTTGGTAGGTAAAAACAATTCCCGTGGCAACACTGTTAGCAAGCTTTATTGTCGAGCGCACTTTTGCAGCAGGGCATGTACATATGTATGTATGTGCATATAATAACTTATCCATGGATGTGTTTGTATGTAAAAATTGTGCACAACAAAAGTTTGGGTAATATATGGAAGTGTGCACGGTTGCCACTTTGGTACAATTGTACCAAATGTGAGCCTTTTTCTCCGTTTGAGCCTTTGGGCCTTTTTTTTGTTAGTCTTGGACCTTTTTGAAGCAACTTTCTTTCGAATAAGCAGCACTCACAGTTTCAAACTTTATAAAAATTTAGGAAAATTCGACAAATTTTCATCCAAATTTCAACTTTTTGATCTGAATCTGTAGAACATTTTTGAGTATGCAGTTTTGTAGCACATACTATTTTGGTCTAATGAAGTGCAAGTTTCAACCGCCCTAAAAATCGCGTTGATTTTTGAGAATTTTTGTTTGTAGGCTGCTTTTGCAGTGTTTTTTTTTTATAACAAGTGCAATTTACAAAAACTGGCGTGGATTTTTTGAAAATTTGTTGCTTACGGTCTAACGCATTTGAGTTCATAAGAAATTTATGCTTGTATGCAGAAAAGTACAAAAATCAGTCACAAAAAAAATTTTCAAAAATCAACGGACTTTTTAAACCGTTGAATCTTGCCTTTATTAGAGTAAAATAGTATGGGCTGTAAGACTGCATACCAACAAATGTTCTAAAGATTCAGATTAAAAATTGCAATTTTGATGAAAATTTGTCGAATTTTCCTAAATTTTGTATATATTTTCGTTGGACGGCAAAAATGGTACATTTTATTTTATTTTGGACCTTTTTACTTGTATATTATGGTACACAAAATTTTGATGAAGTGGCAACCGTAGAAGTGTGTACAAATGTATGAAGAACTTGATAAAAGCTGCCGGTAACTGATGGTTTGCGTCTATGCTACTAGAAAACGTGTAAATTGAAGAAAATGTATGTATCAGCGTTTATAGGGCTTAGCGGTTTGGATATGGCATATACATAATGTGACCAACCGTAATTCTTTCGGAAGTCCAGTACTTCTGGTTGAGCCTTTGTACTTCGTACCTCGATGTGCAGTCAAATGTACTTCTTTGCAATATTTTGTACTACCCAAGGCAAATTAAACTGGTAGTATCAGTAGAGTGTCGGTCGCTGTGGTGTAGTGCTAAGCAGTGCGCGCTTCCACTCCGCAGCACCTGGGTTCAAACTCTGGTCAAAGCAACATCGCAAAAAATATAGAAACAAGTAATTTTTAGCAAAAAAAAACCGATTTCAACTCCCATATAAAAAAAAATATATATATATATCTCATGATCCACTGATCGGATCTCAACCAGATTAGTATGGGACCACCTCTGAAACACTACCTTACCAAAAAGAATTATCGAAATCGGTTGACGTGGTCCAAAGTTATGCGGTAACATAAATAAAAAAAAAAAAAAAAAAAAAAAAATATTCCGACGAACTGATAACCTCCTCCTTTTTTGGAAGTCGGTTAAAAAGGTTTTTTCTTAACAGCGGTCGTCCCTCGGCAGGCAATAGCAAACCTTCGAGTGTATTTCTGCCATGAAAAACAGCTTCTCAAAAAAATACAACCGCCGTGCGGAGTCGGCGTAAAACTGTAGGTCCCTCCGCTTTGTATGACAACATCAAGGCGCACGCCACAAATCGGAGGAGAAGCTCGGTCAAACACTAACATATGTGTAAGCGCCAATCTATTATTATTATTATTATATTATCAGTAGAGCGGCTGATTTGATTTTTTTTTTTCAAATTATGTGGTCATTAAAATGTCAAATTTTCAATTTTTTCTCGCAAAAAATATAAATTGTCAAAATCTTTTTGCATGTGAAACCTTTTTCCATACAAAACAAGCGATTGAAAAGCAACGTTTGGGACGTTCACCTAACTCCGCAGCACACTCGCTGATTATTGGGTCTTGCATATGATGGATCAATTCTTCGAGAAGCAAACAAAATTTACTAAGACAGAAAGTCGTAGGTACAAATTTTTTTCAAATTTAACTTTTAATTTTTACTCAAAATCAGAACAGTTTTTTACACTTTTCATAAGGCAAGCAACAACAAAACATACATAAATGTTGTTTTTGCTCCGTTTACCTGTTTATAGGGCTTGGTACTTAACAAAAAAACACTCTCTTCTCACTCCATATTTGGAGCGCTCCGAAAAAGAACGTTCCAACAAAACGAGAATAAAACTCTCAAGAACGTTCTAAAGAAGAACAGATTGAGAACAAAACTGTCGGGAACGTTTCGAATTAGTTTTAATGTACCTTCACGGATCCTTCGTTGTAACGAGATGTTTTATGTGGGTTTTGCTAGAACAGTTTATGCGATGAATGCTCCTATAAGACGGACACTTTCGGAATTAAATGATTTTTCTTTTTCTTTGGGATTTGACTTTTGCTATACCAAGTTTACTTTTAAGAGCCTGCTCATAAGACACTTAACATAGCTTTACTTTACTAATTATTGTTTATTGATAATGTTAAGCCTAATATAATTTTGCTACACAGTCTGTGAACTTACTGTTTATTGATTAATGAAAAAATATGAAATATGAAATATGAATGAGAACGAAATCAGGACGAAAGTATCGAGAAGGTTCTCATTTTCGTTGTTGGAGTTTCCGACAGGGTAGGAGTATGATGTAATGTGGAACGATTTTCCGTCATCCCTTGTCAAATTCGGTTTGGAGACAAACCGGTTTCGGCGTTGTGCCATCTTCAGTGTCATTTTTCGTTCTCCTAGAGAACAAAACTAGAACAAAATTCTGAGAACATAACGTTAAGAACGAAAGGGGCATCTGCGTGATGGTTAATTCTAATCCAGAGAGAGTAGAGCTGGATCATTTCAACTTCCAGATCGTTTACCATTAGGATAACTGTCTGTCCATTTATGGAACACGTTTTCATTTGCTGTGCAATAAAAGTTCGTGTCTTAAATCTTTCGTTGACTTAATTTGCATAATTATCTTTCTAAGTGTTTGGTCGAACTTATAATAATACGCCACCTCTAAATGGAAAAATGATT